AGAAGAGTGCTTCAAAGACGAAGGTAGAAAAAAGGTGAGGTGAGCACTGTGAAGTAGTCGAATATAACATAGAGTGGGGTCATGGTAGTTTAAAGTGAGAAGTCAACTGCCAGTTAATAGACTTTGTTTTGCCGTATGAGTATACGTTGCCCAGGGTGCACCACGTGGAGGTAAGTCTATCGCACACCCAATAATGATAAAAATAAGTTAAACCGAAATGGAAGAAGAAAAGCAGAACCAGGAGGGAATGAACAAAGCCAGTGAGAGAGGTGGCCGTCATTTTGTCTTTAACCTTGTATAACCCCCCCCCCTTTTTCGGATCGAAAGTGACTGATGATGATGATGATTACAACGTCTAATCTAGTCCATGTCCTAGAAATGAACTCCTCGCTCTCTCGGGTTTTCCACTGATTCACGTTGTATGTGTGGCGTGTGCTTCGCTTTGGTCAAGCCAATTCGCTAGTCTACGTCTACCTCGCTTGCAGCTTATAGAAGTTTTTCTTCACCTTCGACTGAGTTCTACCCATTTAATTTGATATCAAGCTTATAATGAGCTTGGAAGAGAATGTATTACTGATGGGTGAATCTACCATGGTCGTATTTGAAAGACTCGGAAAGTTTTTTGCAATCATTATTACTGGTGATGTAAAACATGGTCCTGTGATGTTGGCGGTCAACATATTTTTTTTTCAACCAAGTCAGCTTTAGAAAGCATTTCCTTCAATTGGGTGGCCACGAAATTCAGTGCTCATTGGTAACCCCCTTATCCAACTGTGCCCTCTGACAAACCGTTTCAGTTAATCCTGATCAACAGTTGTGATGTGATACATACTAGGGGCTAATAGTAAGTGCGATTTCAGAATGTCGTCTCTACTTTTCTCCCCATGAACTTGTGCAGTCCTTCTTTCAAATTGCCTGGTTTTTTTTTGCTTCAACCAACAAGTCCTTTGCAAATTCACGTGTGAGACAAACTTCGGCCTTCTATTAGGCCTGAGCAATCAATTTTTTAAGAAGTAATTATAAGTAGCATTCATTTCCGGCAGTTATGACATCTCTTCTGCTCCTGTAACCTACATTCTTTTATGGAACCGATTGGAGAGAAGACGAAAAGGCTTCGATTTCTTTATTTGTTCACGTTTTCCCATTAAGCTATTTAGATCGATGGAAAATATAGAGAAATTCAAAGAATATATATATCTTTGTCACATTCAGTAACTTGTGCAATTAATATATATATATATATTGGTTTACCTATCTTCTCATATTCAGTATTGTCATATAGTGTACTTTTCTAATGTTTTGTGACTCATATTTTACGATTCTTTCATTCGGGCTGATGTTCTATAAACCATGGGGGGGGGGGGGGGTAAAAGGTTGTTTTAGTTTTCAAAACTGCAAGTTTTGTCTAAAATCTGGAATGTTTGTTGTTACAGCACAGTCTGAGGGCTGAAGACATAGATTCGCAAATTAGGATCGAAAAAACATACACAATGGTGTGTGCCATCTCCTAACTACCTCAAAGAATTGGGAAAAAATTGGGGTTAGTGTCGCGATAGTTACTCATAGAGAAATAGGATGGGGGGGGGCACTGATTTAAAACTACCAATCGACAGATTGTGCTTGGAATATATGCATATAATTTAGTCACCTTAAATTTCAGCTGTGAGAGTTTAATCACGTAAGCAGAGCGGAGTGAGGGTGACAGAGAAAAAAATTAGAGAAAGGCGACATGGCGGTGAAAGTGAGGTCAATGCACCAAGAAGCTGGAAAGTTTTGTGCTGCAAGGACTTTACTTGCGTGACCCCTCCCACCCCCCCCTTGGTCTTGAGTTATACATAGGCATGCCTGACCCCCAATAACCGGTCAACCAACAACCAGCCCTCCTCCTGAGAACACAATATTGAAAATGAAAAATTTCTGAAAGTACTTTTTAATCACCGATGCCAGAAGAACTACGCTTGTACTATAATGCCTTTTTTCCTTTATCCCTCCCCGCCCAGTGAACAGACGATAGTTCAAGTAGTTGAGGCCATTGTCACCCTATCTTCTCAGAACTCAGAGATGCTTCCGCATTTCCTGAATTTCCTTCGACATCTCTTCTTCACGGTTGTTGAGTAAGTTAAACGCATATTGTTAATCAATAAGTATCAGGTTATTATGAAATTATTATATGCCACAACCATGCTAACATTCCAACTCATATGCGATTCTTGTTTGATGTCGGCAATATATTCATTCATTTATTTATTCATTTATATCAAATGGCGGGCTTTATGATAGTTATCATTAGCCCTTTCGTTGTCTTCAGGATTCACAGAGGGAGAGGAACTTCAATGCGAAAAAAGTCGAGAAGGGGGGGGGGAACAGAAGAGTGTTTTAAAGATGTAAGAGAAACAAACACAAAGGTAGATGAAAGCTGAGGTGTGTACTGTGGAAGGGGTCGAATATGACGTACAATGGGGTGAGGGTAGTTTGAAGTCAGAGGTCAACTACCAGTTAATAGACTTTTTTGCCGTATGAGAATGTAGGACATATAGGGGGGTCATGGTAGTTTGAAGTGAGAAGAAAACTGCCGGTTAATAGACTTTTTTGCCGTATGCGGAGAAGTCAACTACCAGTTAATAGACTTTGCCGTTGAAGTCAGAAGTCAACTGCCGGTTAATAGAATTTTTTTGCCGATAGTTTGAAGTCAACTGCCGGTTTATAGACTTCGAATATGACATAGAGAAGTCAACTGCCAGTTAATAGATCATGGTAATTGAAGTCAGAGGTCAACTACCAGTTAATAGACTTTTTTGCCGTATGAGTATACGTTGCCCAGGGTGCACCACGTGAAGGTATGTCTATCGCACACCCCTTGTTGGCAATATATTGTTTAGTCATGACACAGTGACGTTTACTTTTACTTAACCTTCACTAAGTTGGCAACAACCAAAAATATTGAATATTGGATTATCAGTGGCTATTGTTTTTTTGTTCTGCGACCAATAGAAATTGTGTATGAATTTTCGGTAGACAATCACACATTTTTGACTTGCAGATTAGATATTGGAGTTAGTGTGCCTACACTGCCGAATCATCAAACGAGGGAAAGTAATGATTTTGAGTCGAAAGGCATTTCTCCGCGCTCTATCGGCCTCCTACATCCAATTCTACCTTACCTCAAATCATATCTTCACTTTGAGGTAAAGTTGTTCCTTTTTTTCATTGATATAAATTGCTTTACTTTTTACTTATTTAATAACATTAGGAGGTTTCAATGACAAAACCGGCATTTTATGCTCTTTACCACGATGCTTGTAGGTAATGTGGTCTCGTTTCACTCTTTCCAACCAACTCTCTTGGAATTACTTAGTGCTTGTGTTGATTGGTCAGTAGTAGTTACCTTGCTGAGCTGTCGAGGGCTGTTAGGAGAATGCAGGCGTTTTCATTAATTGAGTCATTTTATCACCGGGAGGGAGGGAGAGAAGCCTGGTTAAGATGAATGCGTAGTCGTTCTTTTTATTACTTCCCATAAGTACGTCATATCCCCACTCCCAAAGAGAGGGACCGGATTCTGCTTATTTGATGAAAGCCTTTTAAATAGGGTCTGATAATCAGTCATGCCAATGTATTTAATGTTTCAAATGAAGGGGCAATTTACTTCTCTTCCTCCTTCCCCCCCCCTCCTCCTCCCCCCATCTCCTCCTCCCCAGCGAATTCCCATTTGTTATTCGCCTTGCCTTAGCTAACCCTTGTGCTTCTTTTTACAAAAAGTCGTTACCGTTTTTTGGTGTCTCTCTTTCTCCCGTCTGTATTCCTGATGCGAGTTTCCACAAAGATGCTCTCATCATTTTACTATTATTAGTAAAGGTACTAAGTAGGGTGGGGGGGGGGCAACGTTTCGACATTTTGGCATTTCTTTTTTACTTTTTTTTAAATAAACAGGGTTCTACTTACGACGCGGAGGATAATGCAAGTTTTTCGCGCACCCGTCTGCCTCTACAACCTCTGGGTCAGGTTCGAATCCATGTTGCGAGATTTCTGTGCCACCTCCTATTCCATTGTCGTGGAGAAGACGGCGCTGAAATTGTGGAGCGCATCGGGGAACTGGATTTCATTGGAGATTTGACGGTAAATATATCTGAAAGAGTAGTAAGCTTAGTCTCTAAGGCATTTTTAAGTCGTTTCAAAGCAAATCAGAAAGCAACAATCTCTCCAAACCAATTTATCTTTTTTTGAAGAAATTTAATCCATATACGCCTCAGTATTATTTGGGTTGATTGTAGTTTTAATTTGACATTCCTAGAGGCTATTTATTTATTTTCCTTTAAATAACTGCAATCTCGCCAGTTAAATGGAGTGCTCAGTGAAATTCGATTTTGTTTTAGCCGAGGCAGCCGATTGTGTCCAACGCTGTGGAATCGTTGAAAAAAGGAGCATTTTAGATTTCTTGAATATTTAATAAAACTATATATGTATATATATGTCAAATGGCAGGCATTATAATAGTTATCATTAGCCCTTTGGTTGACTTCAGGCTTCACAGAGAGGAAGGAACATCAAAGAGAAAAAAGTCGAGATGGTGGGGAGGGGGGAAGGAACATCAAAGTGAAAAAAAAGTCTTGGGGGGAGGGTAACAGAAGAGTGATTCAAAGATGTAGACAGACACAAAGGTAGGAAAAAGGTGAGGTGAGTACTGTAGACGTAGTCGAATATGACATCCAGTGGGGTGTTCTGGTAGTTTGAAGTGAGAAGTCAACTGCCGATTAATAGAATTTTTTGCCGTATGAGTATGCGTTGTTCAGGGTGCACCACGTGGAGGTGTAAGTCTATCGCACTCCCCATATATAACAACTCGCTTGGACAACTGTTGTTTAACTCTACTTTAAGGGCAACAAAAGTTTTAAATGTCTTTATTTCTTGGATGTGAGATTTGAATTTGGCAATTTGAATGGGAATTTGTTTAATGCGTGGAAAATTCGGTTTAAGTATATACGAACGCGAACTGTTGATATCACGTGCTTCTAGTTCACTGGCTTTGGATTGGTTCCCAAGTGAAATGCTCATTTTACTTTCAGCCCCCCCCCCCTCCCTCCCCAATTGATGATCTTTTCTCCTTCCGGCTTTTTGTCCCGAGAATTTACTTTGTCCCTTCTCTTTGCCCAATTTATTTTATTGATTTCCAGTCAAAAACACAGTCTCCTAATTGAACTTACTTTCTAGATGCCTTCAACGCCCCCTTCGGAAGCGGATCTCATTCGTATCCAGAGTATGAGTTTTAGTAGCATATAATAGTATTGTAGAGACCTTTCCTGTTCTCGCTAGAAAGCGCCTAATCTCCACTAAATGCCATGTTGTTGTATTCCATTGCGTACGCTATAAATGAATGTTTTAATGCTCTCTTCAGGATCTCTTCTTTGCCTTCAAATGGAACTCTTTAATGCACGCCACTTTGCATTTCTTCACACGGATGATCCTTCGACGAGGTTTTAATTACTCACCAATCGCTCCATCCACCTTTCTTAATGCAGGAGTCAACAACAACAATGCTTCTTTGAGTAAGCCCAATTGCAGCCCTTGTCATTGGCTTTGCCATACTTCGTTTACCCACCCCCACCTCTCCCTCTCCCCTCCTTTCTGCGTTAGAAGATGATAAGTTGATACCCACTTCTGTGAAGTGTGGGCCATTAAACCATGCTCTAGGCTTTCAGTAATGGGAAAAAGGGATTTATTGCCTGCTTTACTTTCACGAATTCTGGATCGTTTCATACCTTTTAAACGCTAGTTACGACCCATTTTGTGTGTCTATATTGCCGCTGAAGCAGGTTATTACGATCTCAGTGTCAATTTCACATAAATTTGTTTATTTATATCAAAAGACAGGCTTTATGAGAGTTATAATAATTAGCCCTTTAGTTGACGTCGGGCTTCACAGAGGAGAAGTGAGGGAACATCCAAGGCACAAAAGAGGAGAGGGGTACAGAGGAATGATTCACGGATGTAAACGCGACAGACAGACACAAAGGCAGAGAAAAGGTAAGGCGAGTACTGGGAAAATTGTGGAATATGACATACAGTCGGGGTAATGGTAGTTGGGAGTCAAAAGTAAACCGCCCGTTTATGGACTTTTGTCGTATGAGCATATGTAGCCCAGAGTGTATCACGTGGAGGTAAGTCTATCACGCACCTCATGATTGAATTATAAGCGTTGTAAAAGTAGTGGAAAAGTGGACTCAGTTTTTGAGCCACCTTGGCTATATCCTTATGGTACCTCGCGTTTTCAAATGGGGTTTATTGATTTCAGGTCTTGAAAGTATTGTGAATTATTGCACACTTCGTCTTTGTGCTTCGGTTACCTTTTCATGATCTTCCATTTTTATGGTGCCTAAATGCTAATAGCTTTGCAAGTTATAGTTAGCGGGAGGTGGGGGTGGGTTGTGGGGGGTTGCGTTAAAACCAATGGTAATTATGCTATTGCAGTTCCCAATAATTGTTCATCTGTTAGTCTAGATTCTTTCGATTTTTATTTTGGTGTTTTTGCTATTATTTCGGGCAAGTAAGATTGCTTCTAATGAAAGCAGGTTGTAAGGGCATCATTTTTTTGACCCTCTCACAGATAAGAGGGTACTTTGGTGGAAGTCTACACACTTCTTTGGCAAAAAAGGTTTGCCTCCACTCCTCCTCCTCCTGATAGCACCCACCCTTCATCATCATCGTCACTTGTTCATTTCCCATTTAATTATGCACCTTCCTGCCTCGTCAACTAATCAATTTCAGAGTACCAAGAGCATTTTAATTGCTACTCCATTGCAACATTGTGACCTTCACCTCCTATACATGCAAGAAGACACTCTAATAGAGGTGATGGACAAGGTGTTTCGCCCTCTTTCTCCCTCCCCCCCCCCTCCCCTAACCCCCTAACCCCCATGCATCAATCGCATAACATTCATTCACTACGCGAATTTATTTCCCATCTAAGCAGTTGTGTTTTGCCTTTAGGTGCGAATAGTGGTCAGAGTTGTAATGAGCGGCAGCAGCAGCAGGTGGATGATGGCGCGGGGGCCGCCTCACCCTATAAATCACCAAATCACCTCAACCCTTATGCAAAGATTGTTCATCAAGTGAGTTTATCACGCATTGTAACCATGTTGTGTTGCTTCCTGTGTGTTTTTGCTATTCTCTATGTAGGGCTGATAACAGACCAATTGTAGTTGAAATTGGTCTGAGGTTCTTGTTATTTTGCAGTGTGAGGTCACTGCAGTTTTCATCTGGCTTCACAGAGGGGCGGAGGAACATCAAAGTGAAAAAAAGTCGAGACGGGGGGGGGGGGGGAGGACAGAAGGGTGTTTCAAAGACGTGGGTAGAAAATGTAGAAAATGGTGAGGTGAATACTGTGGAAGTGGTTGAATATGGCATACAGTGGGGTGATGGTAGTTTGAAGTCAGAAGTCAACTGCCGATTAATAGACTTTGTTTTACCGTATGAGTATATGTTGCCCAGGGTGCCCCACTTGGAGGTAAGTCCATCGCACACCCCGGAATGAAAATGATTGTAGGTTAACAAAAGTGGATATTTTAGCTTATTGCAGTTAGTATTTCAGCTGGTTTGTTTCAACTGGAGTTGTGTGGAACGAGTCGTGGGAGTTTAGGTTCTACGCTCTCTCTCTCAGTAGCGATGAGAATTGTCTAGAAATAGAATGGACGCCATGCCTTTTTCGTTGCATAGAACTGTGCCTGGTAGTCTTTGCTAGTTTAATTTGAATACATTTGGCAAAATGCAAGTTAATCGGGGGGTGGGGTGGGGGAAGCTGCTTTCTCGTGTCACTAATTTACAACACGCCTTTTTGCAACGCCAAGAAACTCCGCTCATGCGTTGCATACTGTGAAGGAAAGTTATTTTTTTTTTAAAATAACTAATGTTCGCCCATTTCAACCCATTGTGCTTAGGAGTAGAACCAATTGCATCGGAGTTAGGCTGAAAAGGCCTTGTTTGTTAAATGTTAATTACGCAAATCTTATTATCACTTAGGCGTGTTTACGTGTGGAATTTACACAAATAAGCCATTGGTCACGGGAATTTTATTGTTTAAGTACAGGTCACACGGGTGACCTTGGTGGTGGGGGGGGGGGGGGGGGGAGGATCTGGTCTGAGACTCGTGAGGCACCATACTATTTAGTGCAGAGCTTCAATGACCCGGAAATGGGATGTTTAAAGATACTAGAGTTCGTTTTATTTGTGAAATTTTCATTCTCTCTTTTTTTCTTCTTTAAAGTGATTGCCCCTGTGTCTTCTCATTTGCTGAGATCAAGAAATATTTCACACAAATGAACATTTAAATTAGTTATTATTTTTTTTTTACAAAGGAGGACCGCGTATTCCACCATTTCTTGCTGACTTCTGTTTGCTCCTTTCAGCTTTTGGTGAAACACAACTTCCTGCATCGACTTCTCGCAGCCTGGAATTTGGATAAATCCAAGAAGTCAGTACCAATTTCCTTTTGGAAATGCTCTACTTATTTTTGACACTTATATAATAGCTTTTTTGTTGCAATGAAGACATCTTTTTTGCCTCCACATTTTGCAGTCCATGACTTTGTTGTAGTTCTGCCTCCATCTCTTCATTGGCAAGTGTAGCTCACGCTCCTAATTAGATTTCGGCTCAAAATATCTTGTACTTTCTTGCTGAATTTCCCCCATAATTAGTTGAGTTGATCCCTTGGGAAAGTCTATTATATAATACTTGTTTTGCTATTTGGCTAAAATTTTAAATTTCTCAAAAAAGCTCCTTTTTAAAAGAACGGTCTCGATCCATCCACCTGTCAGCTGTTTTTCAACTGGCGGTGAAACTTGTCGACTAATCCCATTAACCGATGTGTACAAATTCACTTTGTGTCAAGCAGGTGTCAAGTAGGCTCGAAATATTGGTGGGACGCGAAGTACATTCCATATTGGGGATCTAAATCAGTCAGATGTTTTGGCTCTCTCTATGGGTCAGGTAATAGTGGTACAGCTTAACCCACGGTCGAAATTTATACCCGACATCGCCTCCTATGGTAATGTGTCTTGCTCTATTCGATTTAGAGGTCGACCGGGTTACCGTCGTCCAGGCTACTTAGGTCACTTACAAGAAATAGCAGTTCAGCTTTCCTCATACCTCCTTCCTGATGAGTTTGATTACCTTGGAATCTCAGTCAGGGATTATGATATGGCCATCGTTGAAGATGAGGACCATCATTGGCAAGTACTACAAGATCGTCGGCAACGTCGAAGGAGTGAAAAAATTCGCCAAATGGAAAGTGGTGGGAAAGTTATTCGGGGTTTCTCTGTTGATGAACTTTTATCGGATGAAGAGGAAGAAAGGTTGCTCCCTCGGGTCGTGCTAAGAATGCAGCTCCTTAAAGGTAGGCTGCTTTCGACACATTCTATTGATAAATAATGAGTAGTATAGGTCTTTTAGTTGGCAGATGATATTGTATCCCCTAGATACCGTTGTGTCTATAGTTTTGAATGCTTATTTGCACAGTCACCTCTTCTGGGGTTACATTTAAATGCTGGTTATTGGTAGTGGACGGTGCAATTAGGCTGGGGTGACCTGAAGTGGAAACGTACCATGTGGGGATTAGGGGACCCTAAACACGTAACGATTTCGTGAACAGTCATCAAGTTCGTTAAGTTCACCTGCCCATTGCATGTACGAATAATCATTCAGAAATTTGAACTTGCTATTGATAATAAAAGTAAGATGGACATTTTGGGTGTTAAATTGGGTTGCATATCATTAATATATGAACCAAATCATTCTCATTTTACGACAGTCTGTAAACAGGATTCCAATTTCTAGGATTCCTGTTTGCCATAGTTTTGCTATTTTAATTGTAAGCAGTGGGTATGAAACTGATTTTCTCACGTTAGATCTTCCGACTCAAGATTTTGCAAACTTTGTTGAATTTGTGTCTGGCGAACTGCGACAAGTCGTGTCCGTCTCAAATGTCGAGCATGTGAGTCTAAATTCATCTCATACACAAATGGACTTTCATTTCTTGAAGTATGCATATTACTTTCTCCCCTTCTTTCACTAAGCTTCGTGATCTGAAATCCGCTCTTGTTTCGGCCCCCAATCCTTCTCGATTTATTCTCACTGATTCCACACCTTCGATCGAAGCAGCTACGGAGGTACTGATTATTGATGGGTTTCAGATCTGATCTGAACAGATCTGGGCCTTAAATGAGCTTTATTTCACTTCTTTATTCCTGTAGGCGTATGAAAAGTACAAGAATGAACCCCTGGTTCGAACCTTCAGCGAGGTCTTCGGTCGGGACGAGAAAGATTTCGATCCCTTAGTGAAATGTGTGGAAGACAGGGTGGAGAGCATGTTCCAGGGTCTCTTTGCTACCCTAGTCCTACCTGAAGATACAGTAAGCTCCTATTAATTAATCCAAACTGGTCCAAGATTTATGAAACACAAAAAACTATTATTTCTGAGCAATTGGAGTTAACTCATATCTGACTTTTGAACCATTTTGTTACTATTCATTTCAGCGTGGTGCTCCTCTCTTCAACCAGATCGCCAATACAGTCATTCGAGCTCCAGATGGCGTGGAAGTAGGTGATGCTTCAGCTGGCTTTCCACTTGAATTTGTGGAGGGAACCTTCAAAGAAGGCGACGACAACGACGACGATGACGCCAACCCTAACTTATCTCCCATTCGACACACCTCTCCCATCACTTTGCAGGATTCGGACAATCTACATGAAGAGAAGCAGCGGGAAAGGCTGGAGGAATTGGAAAGGAATTTCTTTTCCAGATCGAGGGAATCCCTCTTGAACGTGTTTGAAGAAGCCCACCTAGAGGTTCTAATGGAATGTGATGAAGATAGTCAGCCGCCTTCCAGTAGTGACTCCGAGAACTCAGAACCTATGGAAATAGATTTCTTCCAACCGGCACTTTCTCTCTCACCCATGGAACGGTCGAGAGAGAGTAGTGGTTCGACGTTGGATGAAGGAGATGGGGAGAGAGGACGAGGTGACCTGGTTCGAGAAATGGAAGACCGACTGTGTGAGTGTGGTTTTCGAGAATTTTCCAAAAATATGTTAGCTGGAAATCTAATCCCTTTTCAGATTGGAGCTCTCTTCTACTCTTAGTAGTTGTCTTTTCGTAACAATTTTGAAGCAAAGTTTCACCGCTTTTAATTACCAACCCAAAATTCCCCGTCTTTCATTCATGAGTCGTAATTAAGTGAATCAGAAAATTGTATCATGGTTGTTGCTGTTCTATTGCGAAAGTTGCATATGAAAAGTAAAATGAAGAGGAAGATACTCATCTGTGCCAAATGTTTGATCATTTCAAGTCGAATTTGCAAGTAAAAATGTGAATTGGTAATCATGCACAAGGTTGTTACCTGTTAAAATTAATATAATTAATATTCATTTATCCTGAAAGTAGATCTTTAAAATGGGAAATAAGTACTTTCTGTTCTCTTTTAGCACTGATTCCTAAACCAACGAAGAGCGATGGTAGACCGACAATGTCTGTTGGGCGGTCGAAACGCTTTCATCACTTGACGGGACCTCGGTCAGACTCATTCAGTCCTCCGGATGATCGATGGTCACCACCTACTTCGAGGTCGTTGGGGGTGCTTAATTCTCCTGATCTTCCAGACTCCGATAGTCTGATACTTCCGCGTTTCAATTCAGTAGTGCGCATATTACTCGTTATCATTCAGTAGTGTCGGTTTGGTGTGATTTACCCTATTTTAATTTTAGAATACTTTGCAAACAAGAGAATCCCTACCACGACCCATCCAGCCGACAATGCGGTCTCACCGTCTCGCTAGAAGTTCTTCTAAAACTGGCGATTCTAATCCCAATAGAGTATCAAATGCTCTTCAAGATTCTGGTCGGCGAAAGCGTTTAGTGACTCCCCTCGATTTTGAGGATGGAGAAGTAAAATTCTGATTTTGGGCTCTCTTATAATCAGCGCTGTATTCATAGTGTGCCTTCCTTTCATCATCTGTAAATTCGATTCATCTGTCAGAGTTCTATTGTATCACTTTCACTTTGTTCTGTGTAATATTGGCTCTTTTCTTACTTTATTACGTACTATTTGGAATAAAGATTGGAGATCATCTGTTAAAAACTTTCTTTTATTCTAGTCTTCAGTAGATGTGTTTGAGATTAATATTGTTTGAAGAGGAATAAGTCAATGGCAGGCTTTTTAATCCATTATTGAACTCTTAGAGATCAAAATTTCGAGCTCCTATGCAGAGGTACAATTCGAGTTTTCCCCGCGGGGAAACTTCATTATGAGTTCTCACTTAATCAAACTGAATAATTGGCAGAAGTTTCCTGAATGAGTCTGGGAGTTATTGGTTGGTAGATGATTCGGGAGCTTTGGGAAAGCGCGAATCTTGTAAGAAAACTCTTGAGATTGTTGAAAAATTTATTATTTCCGATTTTCACGATACCGATTATTCCAGTTTGTTGGTTTTTTCACCTGTCCAGTTAATCGTGGATCTTATATCCTCTACCTAGCCCAATATTGAAAAATAGGTCAGATTCTTGGATCTTCCCAAGTCACTAGCTCTGTTCTGTTCGCGCAAATTAACTTTAAGTTATTTATATTAAATGACAAGCCTTATGGTCGTTATCATTTATCCTTTAGTTGACTTCTGGTTTCACAGATGGGGAGGATGTAAGAGGCACATAAAAGTCAATTGGGGCTGAGGAGAGGGGGAACTGAAGAGTGATTCACAACTATAAGCGACATAGACAAAAAGTTGAAAAATGGTAAAGTGAGTACTATGGAAATGGTAAGCATACCATACATGCTATGAGATTTGCACCGATGGACACTGTCATCATTACTCTTGACTTGACCGACTTCCGCCTTACCTATTGCGCCAACAAGCACCCCGTAGTGGATTGCTATACTAGTAAGCCTTGAATTCAGCTCAGTAACCTCTATAACAAAATTTCCAAGTATGGGAACTCTCTCTCAGATTTAGCCGCTTAACATCAACAGTAGAGAGAAAACAGAGTTATGTCGTAGAACGTTTTTGCACAGCGATGCTTGCTTTCATTAAAAATGATTATAAACTAACCCTATATATTGAGTACATATATATTTATACATAAAATTGAAGAAAATTAAAGGATAAGGATATGAGGGGGCTATTTTTTACGAATGGTTGTAAAAAAGGAGTATCAATTCTCTAATGCCTGTCATATTATAACACTATTTACAATATTTATGAAAAGTAAAGCTTGTGATCCATATAATTTTTCAGTCACACTATAGTTACCTAATCACCCTATGAACTCATTTTCCATTAAATAATGAACTAAAATTTTAAATAAATCATTATTTACCACAACATAGTATGGTAATTCTCGAAAATATTTTATTAGTTCCTGATTACCAGAACATTATTTATTTCATTCATTTTAGTTTTAATGCAATATATAATATAAAAATATTATTATAGTGTGTATTTTATCACTGCTTAAAATTATATATATAATCTAAAGTTCTTTAAATTTAGTAAACGTATAACATTGCTCGCGGCAGTTTTTGATTGGGCGATTCGTTTCTCTGCGGGGTGTATCGTTTTACGTGTACTTTAAAGATATTTTTCCCATTGAAGTACTCAATGACGAGTACACATTTTCAGTTAGCCGTTGTTTCTGCTGACCAGCGTCTACCTTCACAAACTGTTGATATCGATGGTGACTGGACTGCTATCGATTTAAAAAGACATCTCAGCAAATTTTATCCAGGCGAGCCCCCTGTCGATAGTCAGAAACTTATTTTTGCTGGTCGTATTCTCTCAGATGACTCAAACCTGCGGAATATTATTGGCCAAGAGTCAATATCAAGAACAGTCCATCTTGTTCTTTCGCCATCTGTAGCCAATCAAGCGAAAGCAGCTGTGGCTGCCCAGGAGCCTTCATGTCTCACACCTGAACAGATGGAGCATTTAAAACAGCAATATTTGCTGTATTTAAGTGATTATTACAAAAACAACAACGATACAATTTCAAATGATCAACGTAAGATTATGGAAATTCTAGTTATATAAATTTTGATATTTATAGTTTTGAATTGTTCATTTTTTACAGATGAACAGGAAGAATTTTCCAATGGGGATGATGTTATTAATGTTGAAATTGATCTGAATGGGGATCTTGAAGTACCAGAAAATGGATTTCAACGAGTTGCTCGAGCTCTTGGAATAGGTGGTGGCGCTGTTCATCAACAAGCGAATGATGAAGGTGCAGAGGAGCAGGTTGATCTCTTTGATCTCGCTTATGCTGTCTTTCGTATCTCCATTTTGATTGCCGTCTGCGTTACATACGCCTCATGGCAACGAATCGCCCTTGTCGCCTTTGTTGGTCTTTTCTTTTACTGGTTAGTTTCAATCAGAATTCCTTTATTTTGTCTGTTCATTTTACCCTGAACACCTTGTGACGTAGGTCGCAATGTTTTTTTGCGAATGACTTTTTTGAATTTGTAGATTTCACATTGGTAAGCCCATTTTCCTCGCAGTTTGGATTAATTATTTCCAAATTATTTAATTATTAATTATTATTAACTAATGTAACTGAGTATCCATATTGTCTTAATTTAAAGCGAAGAAGAGGATTGCTTTTGATCTTATGCCTTTATTTATTAATGCCCTTCATTATTTTGTTGTTAAATGTTGCATACCGCTTTCGATAGATCTCCTATAGGCAATGGATATGGTGTATCTTATTTCATAGTTATTTTAAACAGTAGCTTTCCTCTCTTATTCCTTAATTTCGCAATGAAGGAATCAATATCTATTATTTATTATTTTACTGAGTCATTTTAAGCCTCTAAGCGGACTGCATTTATTAATTATCGCATGTAATGAGCTCTTTCTGATTAAAGTAATTCTTCCAACTTCTCCACTTATCTATTTCCTTCTTCTAAATTGCATTACCTTCAGTTGACCATCTTTGCATTTTCCTTGTGACTATTTATTGCTATAATTCGAAACAACTCGATCATGATAGAATCATGTAAATTTGTCATGTGGAAAGCTTTATATGAGTTCAGATATTAAGAAAGTGGTAAATTTCTTCATCGTTTGAATATCTCTATTGTGCCTTTGTGACGTATGTATGAATGCATGTCTTAGTTCCGTGTTCCCCTGTTTAATCAAAGAGATCAAGATTCATGAAGAATGGACATCTCTGACTTACATTGGAGTAGCAGACTTCAGAAAGTCATATTTCAGTTCAAAAGGATTGTTGAAAGTGTTTCAATTCCATTTCCTTGAATCCCACATTTTTTCTTTTGAATCGTTATTATCTCAATGGACTTAGTTTACTAATCTGTCATATACTGACCAGTTATTTTAGCTTGGTAGATTTTGGGGCTAAATTGTTGTTTGATTTATCGAATAACGGCGTCAGTTTGGAAATTTGAAATTAAAGAAATTCACTTTTTAGGGGTTTTATTCTCTTGCCCAAACAGCTACAAGTGGTGGTGCGATCATGTTTTATTTGTCGCACTGTCAATATCCTCGTATGTTTTACTTACACGCTTTTTACATTTTTCTATCTTTTTATTGTTCACGCCTTACTTATGACAAAATGTTGACCCCTTCGCCTGGAGATTAAATAGGATCATTGACTGTGTGTATTCAAGGCCATATGAATGCCTACTAATCATTGTAATTGATGTTTCTGTCTTGTAAAGTACGAGCGGTCGAATTTCTCCTACGGGAGGCTGCATTATGTTTCCACTCTGCCAAATATAAGTGCTGAAATTGAAGAGGTTGAAGAGGTGGTAGAACGTGACTTTCGGTGTTGGAAAGTTTTAAGTACCACCACTCCATTCCGCTCAAAACGCCTGTGAGCATGATGATTCGTTCAATAGATTTCTAAATTACTATTCGTACTATTTGGTAAGAATAAAAATGTTCTATGTGTTAAAATAAATGAATTAGCAATTTATTGTTAATTAATACATAATATTAGCATTTCTGTTAAAATGCGCTAAACGGCAAGTTTCGTTGCCTTTGCGTAATTTTGTAGTAATGCTTAAAATTAAGGCAAATTTATACTCTTCTTGGAGATCACATTAAGCGGTGGGCACGTTATTTTCTACACAACAATTTTTACAGTGTTGAAAACAATAAGGAATTTTAGTTTCTCAAAACAAACAATGGATTGTTCAATTCTTTATCCGCAGAAGTAAATTGTTTTTGTTCTGAAAAAGTAATGTGACTTAAAAAATTATTTCTTGTTTCTTTCAAAAACATGAAATTTCCTTTGAGAATGCCATCTTCTCTATCGCACACTTTTTGTCTCTTAGGCGTAATGGAGCTCGGCAAAATGCAATTCGACGACGTCGAAATCCACCTGTCGCTGCTCCAACTCCCGTTTCTCCTCCCACACAGCAGAACACGGACACACAGAATTCCGAGGTCCATAGTAATGTGAGTTTCACTTTAATGGCTAAATTTTTGTCTTTCTTTTCCGCGTTTGGTTGGCTTCTTTCATCAATATTATGTTTAAAATTCTCACTCTTGTCCCTCCCCCCTCCCCCCACCTCCTATTTGGTGTCCTTTGAAATTATAATTCATTAGGTGGTATTTGTTGCTAGGGTTATGCTATTGTAATTTATATAGCAATTAATATGACCATTTGTACTAGCTGGTTTGGCCAAAAACTGCGAAAATTTGGGCAAATCTAGTATGACTGTATGACTTTAGATGTGCCATTTTGACCGCATGTAAGCCAATTCATCAAATATTCCGCATGTTGGGCTTTTAATCTTGGGAATGTTTTTTTTTACTGCGAAGAACCGCATTGTTTATGCTCTACAGCAGGATGTTTCACCTTACCCGGAAGTTCCTTTGTCTTTGCCAGACGACAGTCTTCGGGGAGGAGGGGGGGGAGGGGGGGGGTTATGATAGATGTTAACCTATCTTGCGATGCTCGTGCGCGCTTTGTAGTGGCTAGAGCAAGCTTCGTGTTGGAGGTCGGAATTTTCAATTGACTGCTGTGTGTCATTTCATTGCTGTGAATCGTCGTTTTTCTACTAGCATGGTTTTCACTAACCAAATTTAATTAACTGCTTCGATGAGGTCATTTTACTATGAATGCGTTGGTAGTGCTTATAAGCATCTTCAATTCACACTATCTGTTTATGCTTACTCTGGACTCTTTACCTTATGGCCTCATCACTGCAATCATCTTAGCTTCTTTTGATCAGGCTATTAATCAACTCATTCTTTTTGGGTCTATTATTCCATTCCTTGAGGCATTAATGGTTGATTTAAATTCGTTTATCTTCCGTGAATCCGATGTATCACTTCGTGAATGCTCTATTAATGGCCACTTCTCTGACAGATTTAATTGCTGCATTTCAACGCCCGCGTTTTGGCATTTTCCCGCTGTGCTTATGAATGTTTATTACCTCGTTTATCGCTGAAACTATAATTCAACGTTCCGAATTTTGTTCCTTAATTTTTTATCAATGATTGGAAAGACTGGCTTGTGTATTGGTTTGAACGGCTCTGCTTCCTTGTGAACAAAATGGTTCCTAGCCGTTTTCACATTCATTATCCCCTATTAGAATTGGCATGCTTATTTGATTAATCTGAGTAGTCAAATTCGCCCCCCCCCCCGGTTCTAAGTGAGTATATCCTCCAGAATTATCTTTCATCTGACAGTCATGTGTGCTTTGTGTGAGGATTTAATGATTATACATGGCATAGCTGCATTTGTATTTGAAACAAGGGGGAAATTCCCTCTCGAATTCGTTAGCTTCATCGCACTTTCTGCTCGAGAGACGTTGTAAGGGAAGAACACCTCATATTTTTACAGACTTCGGTGGCGTTTGAGCTTTTTTATTATCTCACAAAGACTGAAAGGTTTTTGTATTGTTTCTAACAACGCAACGATATTAAGCTGTAAAAAGACTTCATTTGCTGTTTCTATCTTGTTCATGGTGAATGGCACCCCATAACTGTCATAACTTTTGGCCCGAAGCAAAATATTTCAGTAAAGGATGAGAAGAGGAAGAAGATTTGATTAGGATTGAATATTAACTCGTACTTTACTTGAATTTCAGGATACGTTGATTTGACCCTTTTTCCAATGTGAGTTCAGTTGATTTAATTTAGCGGTTGGTCATTTCATCAGAATTCTAAAACTAAGGGGATATAAACTGGGCTACCAGAGGTGCCAAGGTATTCACTATTCAAAAGGTTAAGCCATTGGTACTACTCTCCTTCTGTCAGACTTTGTTATCCCCATCTCGACTGGATCATTACTAGTATCCTTCTATGAAATGGGATTTCATCATTTAGACAACCACATCCGGGGCCGCTACTGAAGGTGATGACGTTGGCCAGCTTTCATCTTCTACAGAAACCCCTCAGCAGGAACAACAAGGGCCTCCAACTCGTATTCGGCAGATTGCTCAAGCTCTTAGAGGAGCTGGCGAGACATCCTATCGTCTGGTCTACGCCATTTTTGATTCTCTGGTGCCTGAATTACCCGCGCGCATTGATTAAGCTCCATTGCCTAAGCACTTCGCTGTTGCCTACCTCTCACGATCTTTCACCGCTCCTTCTCACTCTTAATCCCCTTGTTTGTAGATAAGCTTGCCACACACACACACAACCCGAATTCCTGATTCACGCCTGCCCTNNCCCCCCCCCCCCCCCCCCCCCCCACCCACCCACCAGCGTAGACATCATGAGAATTCTTTTTCTGTTCCTCTTATTTGTTTTATTTGTGTGGCGAATTTATGTTAAGCAATATATATATATATATTAGTTCCGAATTTACTTCAGGTACTGGCTGAATTGGATTTTACATTTGGAGGTCATTAAAACCTAATGGATAGAGAGCCAGAAAACGAAATAGGAAGCATGTTTGTGGTGAAAGTTGGTACACAGCAGCCTGGATTCATGTCCAAGGTTGTTTATAAAAAGAGAAAATAAGTACTTTTGAATAGAGGTAACAGAATGTCACACCACATATATAAGACACCAACGTGTCCGCAGGCCTGTACAAGCAGGTTACGTAGACATTTGCGTCAAGCGGTCCCAACTGTATTTCCGATGAGGTGGAAAAATATCAAGATACAAAAATTAGCTGGAAGGATTTGAGAAGTACTATTGGACTCTACGCCCACATGAGGTTGGTGTAGACCACGAATGAAATTATCGCTGAGGCAATTAATTGGTTAATATCAAGCATCTTACCAATTCAGCACATCCATATCTACTCAAGTGACCTTATTTTTGTAATATATATATATATATATATATATATATATATGTATGAGGTACATGTATTCTCCATCCTGTTTTCTTTGAATATTTACAGATTAATAGAAAAGGAGCCTAGCTTAACGCATAAAGTGGAAGTCAATCACTAGGAAGCACATTTTATGGAATTGATGTCTTGTGCATCAGACATTGCCTAATGAAATTTCCGTACACATACCCGATTACCTATCAATGAAATCTTCATCTGTGAATTTTAATTGCAAAAGGAAAATTCATACACACACACGCGCGCGGTAGTTCTAAACGAAATCCTGCATTTATAAGATAAGAAAGGTACAAAAGGAAACAAGTAAGAGAAGAGGGGAGAAGGCCAATTTTCAGCTTGTTCTCACCTCGTTGAACATATTTGAAGCATTTACAGATTAAGGAGGCGTCTTTTAAACTGCTCGACTTTTGGTTTGGAATCCTCTGTTGCACTATTTCGAAACTGGAGACAGAAAAAAAGACAATTCGGTGAATACCAACTAACCACGAATCGAAGCCCGAAAATCCAATTTCGAAAAAAAATTAGATTATGCGTGGCATCTGCCACCTTATCTAAGACACAAGCTGCAAAAATTAAGTCTACTAGCTTATTTCATCAGTTGTTTACAAGAATTAACTACCACGTTTGCAAGGAAAGTAGAATATGTATGCAAACGTATCGATCACAATCAGCTGATACGAGAAAGGTATTAGAGCGCGACCCTAAACATTTTCTAGCTAACCAATCAGGAAAGCGCCAGATAGTAACTACACATACGCACGCGCGCGCACACGCACACACCAAATTCCTACCACTAACTTGACGAAGACTTGAATTTCTTGGACGGAGTCGAATGGTGATCATCGGTTGCCTTGTCGGAGAATTGACGTTCATCACCATCTCGTTCGGCTAAAGTGAAGTAAAGCTTTAAGTCAGCACCACATTCACAGGTAGTCTCCGATGTGTACGTAAAGGTTTTTCATAAATAGTCCATATATACAGACTGCAATTCAAATCCGTCTACCAAATTGAAATCTCAGCGTCATGGAGAAATCGAACGAAGGAAAATTAGTGAACAATTACTTTTCTGGAAAAAAGTCGTTTCCTTACCTTTTATTACTATGAATAACGTTTTATTACGAAATTGTTTACTCGGGCTGATGAGCACAGGATTCTAAACTTTGTCGTCTTTTTTTATAATTTACTGCAGTTTGGAGTACACCTTGAGCTTGTAAGCTGAATGTACATTGCGTGGCAAATAGAGATTGAACGAGATCTACACTACGACCCAAATATTGGCAAATGAGCATTTTACTCTTGGGTTCTGCAATTCGCCTATTCAAAACATATATCAACAGTTATTGGTGATGGTACTCCTAAAGAACAAGATAATACGTGCAACCATTCCCACCACTTGGTAGTCAAATTAGAGTCAATCAAGCTTTAACTACTGAAAGCATTCGTCAAGGGGAAAAACCCCTTTCGATCACCATCCAAGCCAAATACAACGTAATCGCCATTCTTTTAAGGGTTACATTACCAGGTATTTTAGCACCTTCAAATGCCCTCCTCGGGTCGGATTTAGACGTCGAGGGAAGAAAAGAAATAGCGTCCTCTTCAAGTTCAAGCTGAGGAACCTCAAATTCAGACGTATCGAATGGCTTCCAGAATCTGTGGAGAGATTCATTCGCTTTCCATATTAAGGCCTTGGGATCTTCGGGGGGAAGGATTATGCTTTCCTCAGGGGGTTCACGTCGTCTCTTCATTGCATATCGGCTGCAAACAAACAGAGATGAAGCAAGACAATTTTGAAGAGCTCAGCAAGCGACTTCTTTTTGTAAACAGAAGGTACAGTGGTAAGCAATGTTATGTTAGACCAAGTTTAGGTGTTTGCAAAACATTATTATTATTATATCAAATAGCAGGCGTTTTGATTGTTGACTTCAGTCTTCACAGAGGGGAAGGAACATCAAAGTGTAAAAAAATTCAAGGGCATTTGAATTATGCACGTAAACCAGGACAGCCTACTGAATCTAAATTACTATTACGTAATCAAAGCCCTGGGTCGAATCAGACCCTTGGTTAATTATCGAAAAAGTGTCACAGAGACTCGTACATACATGGTCGATTGTAAAAATTGGGTCCAACAATTACGGCCGACGTTTTTTTATTAACAATTCCCCAGACTTCGTCCAATTTTCTAAATCCTCTTTCCAGGTGTATGGAGAAAATTCATTTATTTATTTCAAACAGCGGGCTTTATGGCACTTATCATTTGCCCTTTAGCTGACTTCGGGCTTCACAGAGAGAAGGAGAGGAACATCAAAATGAGAAAAAGTTGAGAGGACAGAAGAATGATTTAAAGATGTTAAAGAGACAGACAGACACAAAGGCAGAGAAAAGGTAGGATAAGTATGGTGGAAGTGATCGAATAAGACATACAGTGGGGTGATGGTAGTTTGAAGCGAGAAGTCAGCTGCCGGTTAATAGACTTTTTTGCCGTATGAGGATACGTTGCCCAGGATGCACCACGTGGAGGTAAGTCTATCGCACACCCACATGGAGAAAATAACCATTTTGAGATGCGACCGATGTCGAAAACCCCTGTAAGAAGCACTTTCAAAACGGGGATCGTAAAACTACTAGAACAATGGAAGAGTCGCAAGTGATAGTGAAAAGTACACTAATTAGCATTTTATGTAAAATTTAAGAATTTCATCACTTGTTGCGCAAAGCGCGCAATTTTTTGTTGGTAACTCTGATGTCTTATTTGACTAATCTAACACCACTTATGGGAAAAGTTTTAAATTGTTAAATAGTGCGCTTTTCGCTCTGTTGCGCCAATGTTTGATCAATTATCACGAGTATAAAATAGCGAGAAAGCGAAAAGGGGTGAATGGTACCCAACCCCCCCNCCCCCCCCCCCCCCCCCCCCCCCCCCCCAACAAACAATCAAAACACTTGATTACTTGACATTGCATTAGTATACGTGGGGTGTGCGATAGACTTACCTCCACGTGGTGCATCCTGGGCAACGTATACTCATACGGCAAAAAAGTCTATAAACCGGCAGTTGACTTCTCCCTTCAAACTACCACCACCTCACTGTATGTCACATTCGACCACTTCCACAGTACTCTTCTTACCTTTTTTTCTACCTTTGTGTTTGTCTCTTACATCTTTGAGACACTCTTCTGTCCCCCCACATCTCGATTTTTTTCAATTTGATGTTCCTTCTCCTCTGTGAAGTCTGAAGTCAACTAAAGGGCTAATGATAACCATCAAGACGCCTGCCACTTGATATAAATAAATAAACATTAGTAAACGTATAAATATATACTTATTCGTATGCTATTAAAGTATAATCATAATGAAAAAAATACAAAGATAACTTGCTTAGAAACAACAGAAGTCTCTGTATTAGCACTCCCATATCGAGCAGATGATGAAGGTTGAAGATATTTCGAGTTGGAAGATGAAGGATGTCCATCCATTTCCCATGGCAACTTGTCAGTCAGAAGGAGCAAGGGTTTGGAAAGATGTCTGTCACGTTCTTCATTCATCACTTCACCAGAATCAGGATTAGAAGTGGAAGAAAAGCTCTCAGTAGGAGGTGGAGGCACTTCAACAAAGTCATCTTCTTCATTCGAATCTGCATCAGAAAACGAGTCCGCGTCCTTGCCTTCTTCCATAAAACGGATGGCTGAGAATCGACTTAAAGCTCGATCAAGGCGGTTCAGAACGGACTTCACTTCAGACCTATCATCAGCTAAGATTGAAGATAGCTCTGGGTTGGACTCAAATATTCTCGACAACTATAAGATAAGGAAACTAGATTTAAGTGAGATCTAGATAGCGGATATATTTACCACTCCCACATTTGTACAGACAGTCTAATAATATATGGGAGTGAACTAATAAAGATCCTAATTTATCTAGTATTGATGAGAAGAGTAGAGGAGTCGAAAGGGTAAACTGAGGAGCATCATTTAACACCAAATTCAATCACAGGATCTTGCATTCCCGTCGAAAAAGAACCTGATTTCAAAGAAGAGAATTGGTTTAATAGCCAATACAACTAATAAGAACACATATACCATTTGTGGAAATGGCTTTATTAATTCTGAAATCGAGATCTACGTGAACATAATGGCCATTTTTACATTTTAACTTCTTTTTGTAGCCGCAGAATCGTATCAATTCTGTGATTTCATTTCTGATCTTCGTGAAACAATTATCGTCACTTACCTAATTGATTTTATTTACCAACTTTCCCGTGCAATTAAACGACCGAGCCAATTGTAACCTAACTTTTGACGCTCAAGTTGAGTATGAGTACTGAATATGAAGAAGCAATCGCCGGTGGCTGAAGGCTAATACTTAAAAATGGTTTTCCCCGAAATTTTTAGGCATATATAGTTAGAACGTACCTCTAGAAACTTGTCGAGAATAGGTCGATGCTGATCTTGAGCCATAGTTAAACATCCAATACCAGTCTCCCGTAGCAATCGATTGTCCTCATTTAAAGTTACTCGAACCTCCGGAATTAGAAAATCTCCATTCGCCCCAGAATTGACAATATTTAAAGAGAGAGAAATATTCACTTCACCCGAATCGTGCATTCCATGTTCTCGAAAATCACTTGGACTGATAGACGAGGAGGGTTCTTCAGAAACCACCTCGAATATATCTGGAATAAGGAGTTTCATAACACCTTCAAAAGCTTTCAAATTCTCTTCAATTACATCCCGGTTTTCTGAAAAAGAATATATATATATATAGTATACCAAATAGACAAATCATAGCAAGTTACCTCGAAATGCATCTCTTGCCTCCATTACACTTCGACGAATTATAGCATCAGCAGCTAAGGCATTTCGTCGCCTTTGGGCATTTTCTTGTTCCAAAAGCTCAAGTAAACGAGCCGCAGATTTTAAACGAGCGTTTCCCTCACCTTGCTTAAGAGGAGATCTTAGATATCGCAGAAGAGACGTTAGCTGGCCTCTTGATTGAGACGTGAGACTCTTCAAAATACTTTCATCACGCTCCCAGCAAAGGAGTAAATCCAACATTTCTCGTTGAAGTTCATTTGCAGCTTGCTCTGGCGGCGGTAAAGGTTTATCAGAACTCGAACAAGGAACGCAGAAAGGAAATATATCCTATACAAAAGAATTAAGATAATAAGACAAGTCAATGAGAATTTTAGCACCTGTAATTGCAATAAAATCGATTCCCGAACCATCAGCGAGAGCTTCGGCTGAGATGACAAATATTTGACAAGCTTAATAACGCTTAAACGAATTTGTGCACGCGGTCGTTGAATTTGTTGAAAGATAATTCGCAAAGCATCGTCGCGATCAAGGTTCGATTCTCTTTTTAGAAACAAAATTATTCGAGACGCAAGACAGTATTAAAAACATCAATTAAAAATAAGCAAAATACATCATTCGTTTAGTCAAATCAGATAGAAGTCCAGAATCTGGCTCAGAGTTATCGCCGGTAGTTAAGCAATCAACCAAGTCGGGTAACTCTTTAGGTGGAGGGTGTGATTTTCGTTTTTTGGGTAATTTCGGCTTCTTAAATAGCTTCGATTTAGTCTAAATATTAAAATCGTTCATTTATTAAATAAGAATATCAGGAGGGTTCTGAGAAGAAAACGAAACAGTAAAAAAATAAATGTATTAATCAAACAATCTAAATCAACTGGTCGACGACTTCTTCATTGAAGTCTGCTCCTAGAATAAACAAAGTTATTGACTTGAAATATTTTTTACAAAAGTCTTCTCCCATTGATCGGTTTTTGCGCTAAAATCAATAGCATCGCTGAAAACCATGGTAAATTCCCCTGTCTTAACCACTTCCCCATTCCGCCCTACATTAAGAGTGAGCGATCCGTTTCGAACAGATGTATTCCTAAGATAATTATAAGGATAATATGTTGATAGCTTACGCTCGGGAAACTTTTAAAATATCACCAACAGAAATAAGCCGTGCAAATATATTCCAAACAGACATATTTATGCAACCGGTATGATCAGCTACTTTTACTGTACGAACCATGCTGCCCTCCTTGGTTTGTATGATTTTATCTAAACAAAGAGACAAATAAGGACGCATAAAATCACATACCAATGTCGATAACAATAACATTTGCATTTATAAACTTCATATTAGGTCTTAGGTCTTTGAGTAAATATTCCTTCTCCATTTCACAGAATAATGATTTAACCTTGAGATATTAAAAAGAGGAGGATTTGAAATAAAAATAAAAACAAGAAATACTATTTTATCAACAACCTAAAAGTAATAGCCTAAAAAATTATTTGTTTTAAAAATATAAGCAGTAAAATTTAATTTAGTAAAGACAATATACTAATAATTTGGGTATTATAAAATTATAACCAAATAGACATGACATTTTATTTCTTTTCTTTGCAAATTTAAACTTTTGATTTCAATTCTTTAATTTGAATTTCTTCAACATCGACCATTTTATTGAATGATTCATAATGCTAATCAAAATAAACTTTCATTTTCTTAGATTTTATCACAAAGCATTAGAATGTTGAAACCGAAGCTCATGCCTTGTTTGAAAATAACTTGAGCGTATGTTACCTGACGGACGTCTTGAGCATCTATATAGGCATTGAATTGAAATATTTTTCGGATTAAAATGAAAATACTAAAATGTTGTCATTTTTTGCTCACCGTTGAACAAGCATTCGAAGATGGTCAACAGTTTTAACATTTGAAATCATAATTTTAAGTAAAAATGAATGATAAGTAGCATTGAACAGCAAATACTTAAATATAAATAATAATCTTTGTTACTTCGATTTGCTTGAGTTAGTCACTTAAGTTTTATTGTCATGGGTTTTTAGCACGGAATGTGTTTTATGCCTAAATACATCACTACAGTTTTTTCTGATCTGAGGTTTTTGTAAACTATGATAATAACTGCCTTTGATATTTTGAAAAAATTATAACTCTCATCGAACAAGTTTATAAATTAATATTTCTAAATTTTAAAAACGAAATAATATCAGAATGAAAATCAAGCTCATATTTTTATTTAATTTTGTATAACTTTAAAGAAATAGTGGAAAGGCCGCATTTACAAATTTCCTTAAGGTTATGTAGCAATGGGTGGTGTTACTTCGTTCCCCGATAACGACTCCTTGATTGACAGTCTTGTGAGAGAAGGTGATTTTCCACCGCATATCGAACGTGTTCTACGTTTAGTAGATCGTGGTAACTATGCTGTTGGTCCCAGGAATCGAATTTATTGTGATTCTGCTTTTCGAGCGGATAGATTACATCTTTCTGCTCCCAGTATTTATGCAACAGTTCTTCGAGATCTAAACATACAACCAGGTCAATCAGTTCTAAATATAGGCAGTGGGACTGGTTATCTTAGCACAATGTTTGGGCTTTTACTCGGTAAACTTTCTGCCAATTTGTTTTTTATATTTGCCTTTTAAAGATATTAGAGAGGTTTATTATTCTAGGTTCAAATGGATTAAACCATGGAATTGAGCTGCATTCAAGCAATGTTCAATTCGCTCGTGAGCGTCTGGCACATTTTATGGCAACCTCGGATTCTCTGTATGAACGCGATTTCTGTCCTCCTCGGTTCACTGTTGGGAATATATTTTCCTTAGTCCCTCCTTCTCCTGATGATTCAATGCCTCCGACTTCTGATGCCTTTGATGATCCTGAAGATATGATTTCACAGATTCTGACTTATCACCGGGAAGAGCTTACTCAATTTCTCTCCTCTGCAAATATCGAACCTCCTCCTCTCATTCGTCGAGATGACGCTGTTGCCGAAAGCGACGTTCAATATTGGCCTACTTATGATCGTATTTATGTTGGTGCCATGCTCACCGGTATCAATCAACTTAAAGCTATTTTGCGGCTTTTAAATGTTGGTGGTAGCCTTATTACCCCCATGTTTGATCATGTTAGTTATTGAACCCACTGTTTAACTAGTGTTTTACTGTTTATTTTATACCCTTTTTTCGTTAGCTTTTTAGAATCGATCGTATTACCGAGACCTTCCTGAATGATACAGTGCTTAGCACCGTTAGTTTTCAGACTATCGCCCCACCTTCTCCTGATGAACCAAACATTCTTCCATGTAAGTACATTTCTTATCGATTTCCGATTGTTGGCGTCTTGGAAATGGTTCACATCTAAGCCTGCTCTTATCGGGAAGCCGTCTTATGTTTTTCAATTGCATCTCAATGCTTCTAAACTTCTACATAATCTTGGAGGTAACTCGTATCATTGCCCTGATTTTTGCAGCAACCTCTCACTATCTGACGGCTGATTTTACTATTTAAATTACTTTATTTTGGGCCCCTTTTTTCTATCACTCCCCATGTTACATCTGAAAATACTTATTCAGCCCTCTATTAACTTTCCTTTCACATGCCACTTAGCTCTTTTCCTAATGATATTCGCCTTCGTGTTCTCTTCCCATTTACTCACGGGATGTGTAATCAGTCCTCAGAAGTGAATTCAGGTATTGAGTCGTCCCTTCAATTATATCACGAAATATCAAAGTAGTTTTTTTGTTTATTTCATTAAGGGCAGTTTAAGTAACACGAATTTGTCGAAACAAGTCAGCTTTTGTAATTCCCTGTCGGTCATTTTCTAATGTTAGTCTCGTCGACTCGTTGCCTCTTTTTTTAGTTATAAGCATTGTTTTTTAAAGACACCGATATAATCGTATGCCGTGTAGCTTTTGAGGGTTGAGATTAATATGCGATTCAGTTGTCTGAGTTTTGTACACATGATATTTAGCTTTTTTTCCATAGTTCCATTTTGCTATTGATAGAATAATTTCTGAAGATCATCAAATAAGGCATTAGCAAGGTTTAAAAAACGATTGTGCTTCCATATCTGACTTGTCTAGACTTACACTTACGGCGAATAAGTTAACCCTATAACGCCTCAGAAGTCGGGTAAAATGGAATAATTTAGGTATTTTGACATGTTTTTTTGCTTGCCTGAGCGGTTTTTCATTTAAAGTTAGTTATTTTGTACTTATTTCGTTTGGTTCATATGTTTGCGTGTTTATAGAAGAATCGAAGTGTCTTCGTCGCCTTGGGTACGAGTTATTTTTAGCAATTTTTGGAGAATACAGTGTGGTGGAATCTGTTTCAATTTTCACTTAAAATCCAAATCATGCACTATGCCTTCAATGTGACGAACTGGGCAAATAGTGTGTGTGTGTCTTGTTTTCTTTCAGTTCCGCGACGCGAAGTGGAACGTCTAGATGTCCTGGCATGCCGTTCCCTTAGGCAGGAGTTGCGTAAGGTGATTATCCAACGCAATGGTGGTCATCTCCCAACTCCTCCTCGCTACGTTCGCCCTACTAAAACACGCCAACGCAAGGAACCACCGCCACAACCCACTTTCTCTGGTTCTCCACCCCCATCTCCTCCTCCTGCTGACAATCCCGCACCTTCCACTTCCCGTGGTACTCACGCCTCCCCACAGGCATCCACTTCCACCACGCCCTCTGCATACGTATCAAATTTATCCCCATCTCGTGCTGTAAGTCGCTCTATTTTCTTCCTTAGTTGTCTGGCAGCTTCCTCTTGTAGTTATTTTATTCCCTGCTTGGTGAATTGTTTGACTGTCTGCTCTGCTTTTCATCTCGTTGCTTTCATTTCGTTCTCCCCATGTTTGTTTGCTTCCTGATGGATATTCGACTTCACGTCTGCCCTACGATTTACGAATTTATTGCGTATGGTTTCATTATTAATTTTCGGTTAACTCTAAGAATCACCCTTGTAGTCCCCCTCCCCCCCCCCCCCCCCCCTCTATTTATACCCTGTCTGTTGAAACTGCTCATTTGGACTAGACCTCCTCAATGACTCCTCACGTCGTTTTGCTCAATATAGGCGTATAAGAACTGTTAAAAGATGGTCGAACTTTGATATGTTTCGAGTGAAATTGTTTACTTTATGTGCCCTGGTTCGTTCGATCGACAATCACTAAGGGGAAGCGACATTCGATAATAAGGACAGTGCGGGCGCATGGGTTCCCACGTGAGCCACCAAGCAAGTTGCTATTGTAGAATTGGGAATAGGCTATGTAGATAGGTATGCAGGCACTTGTGCCCTCAACTCAAATCGTGGGCCACTGAGAAATCTTCATGTCCCCCTTTGCTAGAAGAAAGGGTAGTCGATTGTCGTTGCCCTCTCCCCCCCCCAGACTTCCATAATTAGCCTTGTGAACCCTATTTCCTCTCATATTGCCTTGCCCTATCTATTTGAAGCTCCTTGGTGAAGACTTATCTCGACTAAGTTACCTACAAATGTTGTAAGCTACTAATCGAGAAAAAATCGAGTAGCCTAGACCTCCATTAAACTAAATAATGGAAGAATAGAAAGTCAATGGAAGACTATTTTTGATAATTGGAGACATCACTCGTGTGCTTAGTGACATTTCAATTATACCCCGTTAGTTTCATTTATACCATTCAGGCTAGTACTTATATTGTAATACTGTAATATATCATGTTTCGATTGAATGGCAAATTTAGGACATTCGTAATCACTATCATTTCGTCGTTTGTATTGTGTTCTCATCGTGACTGATCATCTAACTCTCGTTGTTAAATTGAATGAATGGAATGCACTTATTGTGTGGAGGATGTTTCTGTTTATAGGTGTAATAGGGTAGTAATTCCTTTCTTTGCAATCCCCATTTCATCTGCAGTCATCCTCCTCGCGTGGAATGTCCTCAACCTGCAATCATAGTCTTCTCATGGACATGGAGATCGATATTGGCATTGATGATCCTGACGAGTTAGCTGGAGTGCGACCATTCACTTGCCCAAATTCTCCCCACCGTTTCCCTCTTCCATTTCCCACTCACCCTCCTTCTGAAATGCCCCAACCACAATCAACAGATGTCGCCGTCACACCAGAAGTGGGGACACTGGGTGGGGGGGAAACGGTAGATGTTGACACGATGGGTTCCTCGAATTTGACGCCGTTTGAACAGTTGCAATTCATTGAGATGATTTCGCGTCACTTCCTCTACTGTCACGTTCCTGTGAGTCACCCTCTTTTCTTGTCTGTGAGAACTTGGCTTTTATTAGGAAGTCACCCTCTCAGAGCAAGTCTGTTTAGATTACCAATTTCAATTTTCTGACCTCTGATCAGATTAAATATCTCAAGTATCGAGGATAGAGTGCACCTGGAATTCTTCTTGTCTACGTGTGGTTGTTTTTTTGCCAACAAGCGATGGTTGAATGCAAGTACCCTCAAGTACTATTAACACTCTGTTAGTTACATACCTTAGCTTGCGAAGTAAACTGAAAATAAGCAAAGCTAGTGGCCATGTCGAGTAACGATTGAGCTCTGTCATTCAATGTACTCGATCATCCTCTGCTGAAGTGTCACGCACACACACGCAAATGACGTATGTGACACGGCCACTTTTTCGTTTTCTCTCCCCTCTTCTCTTCCCTTCCAATCGGCCCGCCTGGCTATGCTCGACCCTTCTTGCAACTTACCTCAGTAGTAACTTTTTCATAAGGTTCCGCTCTACATTGGTATTTCTTTCCATTGCTGCTACGTTTCTCTGTCTTAGGCCTTTACTTATTCGAGCCGATATTCATCTAACTTGTACTGTTTCAATTTAGGCACTATTACTGAAACTAAAATACGAAGTGGTAAGTTAAGTTCGAGATGGTGCTCTCTCCCTCTACAGCACAGCATTACAATTCTTTCGACTGTCAGTCTAATATCTAATTGGCTAATCACTGTGTGTGTGTGTGGGGGGGGGCTTTTATGGGGTTGAAGAATTCGGTGTAAAAATTTGGGCTACCTCTTCATTAACTATTGAAGCTGTTCCGAACTTGTGTGCGGTAAGCTGAGAGAAGACTTCAATTTCCAACGAGGCACATTTCATTATTTAGAATATGCTTTTGCATTTGTGGATTTAGATTTGGGTTAAGGGTCAGGCTGCCCGTTTTTGCTGTGTCTTACTCATTTTCTACCAAGGTCCACTTACCTAATATGTGAACAACACTTTCTTGGGATTGTCAATCTACATATCCGTCGAGGTAATTGGTGAACATTTAGGGGGTATGGATGGCCACAACTGTATTTTTCTCCTCAACAGTGGTCGTGGTCGAATGGTGAAGTATGTGTTTTGTGGGTGTTTGCTGCAAAAGTCGACGCTGTCCAAGTTTTGTGCTCTTATCCCATTAAAAGGAAAGGGATGCGATTGTTCACTCTTTTTGATTAGAGAAACGTAGGTGGTGGTGATGGTAGTGGTGTAAACGGGCCCCTTTTAGGGTTGGTCCTCCTCGTCATAATTGCTGCAGTTATTTACCTACTTGTTTGTCCTTGTCTTCCAACTTCTTTTTTTTGCAATGGAGCTTCATTACTAACTGCGAATCAGAGGGGGGGGGGGTATGACTTCCTTGTATCTCAAATCTATTTCCAAATCTGCCTTTTATCTTCTACTGTGGTGGTGGATAGACTAGGTGCACTCTTGCTCTACGTGTTTGCCTAAGATGAGTGTTAGGCAGTGCCTACTTTTGTTGTAGAATTGAATGCTATAAGGTCTTCTAATTACTATTTGTGCTTTCATGCTCGATGTCGACAGCACCTTCGCACTCAATTACTTAGATTGGACAATCCGGAAAGGGATAGGGCGGAAGATACCTCTCATTCTGCTTCAGAATCCTCCTTCGAAAGTGATAGAGCATCCTATGGAGATAGTGATTCGATGCTTTATGTTGAGGAGGAGGAGGAGGAGGAAGAAAAATACGAAGACCCTGAATTTGATGACATGATATCATGGGCACAATCAACGGGCCATTCTTCTCAGAGAAGTCAGCGAAACAAGCGAAGAAAGCGTGAAGGGAACACAGAGGAAAGTGCTGGGCTCGGTCCAAGTAATGCGTTTGATTTTTGTGGTCGAAGAAGGGAAACTTCACCTGAGGTTAGACGGAGACGATACAGGAGGAGTCGACCTAAGGTTTGGAGGAGGCAATCTTACTTTTTTCAAGAAGAGATGCGTCGCTTGCTTGAAGAGCTGACGAATGAGATGGGTCTTAGTGCATATGCTGGGGAGTTGGTCCTCAGGCTTAACTAAACCCCTCCCCCTATCTCTCTCGATTTTTGCTATTTTAGCCAGCTTTTGCTCTACTTCCAACCTTCCCCCACCCCCACCTTTTTAACTGACGTCCTTTGTGACCTACTTATTCTCACATTTTGTGTCATTTTATACCGTAAGCATAGCCAGAAATACGCCCTTCTTTATCTTTATACGTGTGTGTTACACATTATACGAAAGTCAGATTTAGTCGTTCCCTTCTTTTCTTCCTCGGGTATAAACTGGTTGCACTTGTGGAGATAGTTGAAAGCTTCTGGAGGGAGGGAGGGAGGGAGGGGGACTCTTATGGTAAACATGGAAGCTGTTGGACAGAGCTAAATCTACCCTCTGTCATTTCAGTGGGTATATTGGGAGGGGGGGGGGGGTTGTGGACTGTATAACCTGAATATCCGTCCAATATCATTTTGGCGCATATTAGTTGGTGTTTGCTGTTAATAATTGATATTAGTTGAAGCTTCAAATACGATTGGAAATGGCAGGCGCTTTGATAGTTATCATTTGGCCTCTGGCTTCACGGAGGAGAAGCACTATCAAAGTAACAGAAAGCCGAGGAGTGGGGAACAAAAGAGTGATTCACAGATGTAAAAGAGGCAGACATAATGGCGGAGAAAAGAGCAAGATGAGTACTGTGAAGTGGGTGAATATGACATGTAGTGGGGTGATGGCAGCTTGAAGTCAAAAGTCAACGGCCGATTTGATGGGTTTTTTGCCGTATGAGTATACGTTGCCCAGGGTGCATCACGTGGAGGTAAATCTATTGCACACCCCTGGAAATAGAATATCTAATAGCCCATAAGTGTCGCATTTATAAAAGTTAGGGCAATTTATCAGGGCATCTTGGTTATATTATGGGCTTTGTACTTTTGATGAGAACAATTAATGAAGAGTTTGCCACTGTAACGGATTGACTCACCTAGTAGGCATTGGCTCAATGTCATTTTATGACAAGACCACCAAGTTCGAGCATGAAGTACCCTATTTTTGGCGGTGTTTTGACAGACAGAGGGGGCCTAGTAATTAAAATGAGCATTATTGATTTTAATGTCTGGGCTCCTTATTCAGTAAGTAGTACGGCCGCACCAACGAGTNGGGGGGGGCGGATGGAATTAGCCCTTAAACTTAACTGTGCCTGTTCATTCAAGATTCATTTTAAATCAGTTATTTTTTGTTCTGAATCCAACAATGAAATAAGTCACTAATCTTAATTAAAATGTTAAATGCCAAATGTGTTGGTCAACAATAATTGGTCACTTAATTTAGTAAATGGCCTATTTACTTTGCATTAATTGTTTCGGATAAATGTGAAATATAAAGACAGCCATCTTGTTTTTTGTCGTATTTGCTTATTCATTTCAAGGTTAACCCACTTGATCAAAGGATCGCATAAATTTGGACATGATGGTGTATGGAAAAGGTGTACCATGCTATTGAAAGAGGAAAACAAAGCTGAATTTTTCGCTATACTTGGATATACGATTAACTCCTCTTTATTTTTTGGAAATAAAATTTTAATTTGAAATAATTGAGTTTGAACTGGGCCCTGAAGCTCCATGATTAACAAACGCCCTGGGTGTTAGTGGGCAACTATCAGCACGAAGTGCTAATCTATGTTCTCTAATTGTGTCGGTTGAACACAGTTCAGTGAATTCGAAAAATGCAGATTTTGTTCATTGTTGACAGAACGAATTAAATTACTAACGCATAAAACATTGTAGGTAGAATTGGAGAGGATACCTTTAACAATGGTTTTAATTGTCATAACCTGCCTGCTACAAACCAACTCGATTGTTCCCAAGTTATTTCAGAAGCTTTATGTGATGTCTCGGTAATAATTGGGTGCTCAGCGCCTGATTGCATGAAAAGTTATTTCACTTTGCCGTGTAGCGCGTCTGAATTAAGTGTCTAATCTTCTGAATTGGAAGCGATCATATCTACACAGACTATTTTTCCATCAATGATTTTTCGAATTTGGCAATTGGTTAGCTTTGTACTACAACCCTTGAATGACTTCACTTTTATTATAATTTTCCATTTCATAATTGAAGCTTTTTGCCTTCAATGCAGTTGCTTACTACCTGAAGATTCAATGGACATGGTATTAATTTTGATCAAGTACATATTTTGCTTAAAGGTACTGGAGTTCAGTGCCAATGAACATAGATCTTGAATAAAGTCTTTATTTTAAATCAAATAATTATACTAAAAATGCTTTAATGACAAGAAATTTGAAAAGAGAATTCAAAATGGGTTTTAATTGATATATAATGCATCCAAGCATTAGCAGCCAATTATGACCCCTAGCAGAACCTGTGACCTTGAATTCGGTAAGGTTAATTTATTTATTTCAAGTGGCAGGCATTTTGGGAGTTATCATTAGCCTTTTAGCCGACTTCGGGCTTCGCATAGAGGAGGAGGAACATTAAAGTTGCAAAAGTAAGAGAGAGGGGACAGAATAATGATTCGCAGATGTAAAAGAGTGAGACACAGAGGCAGAGAAAAGGTAAGATGATTGCTGTTGAAGGGATCGAGTATGGCATACAGTGGGGTCATGGCAGTTTGAAGTCAAAAGTAAACTGTCGGTTAATAGATTTTATGCCGTATGAGTTTACATTGCCGAGGGTGCACCACGTGGAGGTAAGTCTATCTTATTCAGTGAAGCGGGATTGACACAATATACATATGACTATATTGGCAATGAAGCACATGGCAGTGTCGATGTTGCTGCATTTGCGCGTTGTTAACATCGGCCTTGGTGTACTCGGTTGCGTGAGGTTAGTTGAAGTTGGTCACCTGTCACTCTGCTCCTTTCTGATTTCGGTAAGGTAACTCTTGACAGTCTGCATGCGTTTGGGGGTAAGTACCTCTGTAATTGCTCAAAGATAATTTTATGCACTTCAACAAATGGTTTATTGCTCCAATAACTAGGCCTATTCTTGAACAATTAAGAACATAAATATTGGGAGCTTTATTTCGGCCACTCATAACTACAAGGCTATCTTGGCACTAAAATGATGTTTCTAATTCTCCTACCCTGTGTACAAATTCAAAAAACTGGATTAAAAGCATTACGCTATGGCACTTGAATATTTCACAACTTTAGTTTAGGTACATTAACAAAATGAAGAGAAAAAATATATGATTAAAGTGAAAATTGTGGAGCCTCCTACACACGCCCACATTCGCCCACAAGATTTCTCATTTAAGCCTAAATGCGGTCTCTTTGAACTCCGAGTTCGGTGGAGACCACTTGTAACTCTCAATTTCTTAATTTAAGATAATTAAAGCAGCGCAAAAAATGACTTGAAAAGAATTTTTCTTTGCCTTTCAAATGGATGAAGCATTATTATTAGGATTATTATTGTTATTAACTTCGGAGGATATTCGAAATGGTAGAATTCCTATGGTGTAAAGTACATATTTTGTCATCCTTCCTATTAGTCAGAAGTAAAAACTGTACCTGGCATAGATCTGTATCGATAGTCACTAACCCCTTCTCCCCTTCTCGCTAAGAGAGTGTATTAGACTATCATTTCCTGAACCTTATTTTATGGAATTGGGGTGTGTGATAGACTTACCTCCACGTGGTGCACCCTGGTCAACGTATACTCATACGGCAAAAAAGTCTATTATTCGGCAGCTGACTTCCGACTTCAAAACACCATCACCTCACTGTATGTCATATTCGACTACTTCCACAGTACTCACCTCATCTTTTTCACTCTACCTTTGTGTCTCTCTCTTTAACATCTTTGAAATACTCTTCTGTTCCCCTCCCCCTCTCGACTTTTTTTCACTTTGATGTTCCTTCTTCTCTCTGAAGCCTGAAGTCAACTAAAGGGCTTATGATAACTATCAAAATGCCTGCCATTTGATATAAATAAATAAATATTTTATGGAATTTATCCATCTCCTATCCATCTCCCCCCTTTAAATATCTATTTACTCTACTATGGGCATCNATTTGGCCTCTGGCTTCACGGAGGAGAAGCACTATCAAAGTAACAGAAAGCCGAGGAGTGGGGAACAAAAGAGTGATTCACAGATGTAAAAGAGGCAGACATAATGGCGGAGAAAAGAGCAAGATGAGTACTGTGAAGTGGGTGAATATGACATGTAGTGGGGTGATGGCAGCTTGAAGTCAAAAGTCAACGGCCGATTTGATGGGTTTTTTGCCGTATGAGTATACGTTGCCCAGGGTGCATCACGTGGAGGTAAATCTATTGCACACCCCTGGAAATAGAATATCTAATAGCCCATAAGTGTCGCATTTATAAAAGTTAGGGCAATTTATCAGGGCATCTTGGTTATATTATGGGCTTTGTACTTTTGATGAGAACAATTAATGAAGAGTTTGCCACTGTAACGGATTGACTCACCTAGTAGGCATTGGCTCAATGTCATTTTATGACAAGACCACCAAGTTCGAGCATGAAGTACCCTATTTTTGGCGGTGTTTTGACAGACAGAGGGGGCCTAGTAATTAAAATGAGCATTATTGATTTTAATGTCTGGGCTCCTTATTCAGTAAGTAGTACGGCCGCACCAACGAGTCTGTCTCTGCCCGCATGACATTTCTTTGTTCCCGCATAACAGCGCTTTACCCTCACATTACGCCCTCTCCCTCCCCCCATTTTCTACAGTGTTATCGGGATACTAAAATGTGGGAAAAATGACACGTTAATTACTCGACTCTTCGGATATTTTTGAGAAAATTTGATTTAAGAAATTTAAGATTTTGGGACATTTCAATTAATAAATGAGTTAATTGCGTTTGCAGATTTAGTTGTTTCGGCCCCCAATCCTTCTCGATTTATTCTCGCTGATTCCACACCTTCGATCGAAGCAACTACGGAGGTACCGATTATTGATGGGTTTCAGATCTGAGCTTTAAATGAACTTTATTTGACTTCTTTATTCTTGTAGGCGAATGAAAAGTACAAGAATGAACCCCTGGTTCGAACCTTCAGCGAGGTCTTCGGTCGGGACGAGAAAGATTTCGATCCCTTAGTGAAATGTGTGGAAGACAGGGTGGAGAGCATGTTCCAGGGTCTCGTTGCTACCCTAGTCCTACCTGAAGATACAGTAAGTAAGTAAGTGCCTTTTAATTAACCCGAACTGGTCCAAAATTTATGAAACACTGTGGAAAAGAAGGAGGCCTATGAGTGAAGGAATATGTTGTCTTAGAAGTGAAAAAGCAACGCTTTTATCCTCATTTATGTTCGGAAATGCGACAACTGCGTTTTAAAATTTGGTTGTTGTTTTGGTTTAATTAAATTTAAACAAACTTTTATTTCTGAGCAATTAGAGTTAACTTATATCTGCCTTTTAAACCGTTTTGTTACTATTCATTTCAGCGTGGTGCTCCTCTCTTCAACCAGATCGCCAATACAGTCATTCGAGCTCCAGATGGCGTGGAAGTAGGTGATGCTTCAGCTGGCTTTCCACTTGAATTTGTGGAGGGAACCTTCAAAGGCGAGGGGTTGCGCGATAGACTTACCTCCACGTAGTGCACCCTGGGCAACGTGTACTCATAGGGCAAAAAAGTCTATAAACTGGCAGTTGACTTCTGACTTCAAATTACCATGACCCCACTGTATGTCATATTCGACTACTTTCACAGTACTCACCTCACCTTTTTACTACCATTTCTACCTTCGTCTTTGAAACACTCTTCTGTGCCCCCCATCTCAACTGTTTTCACATTGATGTTCCTTACACTCTGTGAAGCCTGAAGTCAACTAAAAGGCTAATGATAACCATCGAGACGCCTGACATATGATATAAATAAATAAATACCTTCAAAGACGACGACGACGATGACAACTCTAACTCATCTCCCATTCGACACACCTCTCCCATCACTTTGCAGGATTCGGACAATCTACATGAAGAGAAGCAGCAGGAAAGGCTGGTGGAATTGGAGAAGAACTTCTTTTCCAGATCGAGGGAATCCCTCTTGAACGTGTTTGAAGAAGCCCACCTAGAGGTTCTAATGGAATGTGATGAAGATAGTCAGCCGCCTTCCAGTAGTGACTCCGAGAACTCAGAACCTATGGAAATAGATTTCTTCCAACCGGCACTTTCTCTCTCACCCATGGAACGGTCGAGAGAGAGTAGTGGTTCGACATTGGATGAAGGAGATGGGGAGAGAGGACGAGATGACCTGGTTCGAGAGATGGACAAGCGACTGTGTGAGTGTGGTTTTCGAGAATTTTCCAAAAATATGTTAGCTGGAAATCTAATCCCTTTTCAGATTGGAGCTTCCTTCTTCTTAGTAGTTGTCGTTTCGTAACAATTTTGAAACAAATTTTCACCGCTTGTAATTACCAACCCAAAATTCCCGTCTTTCATTCATGAGTCGTAATTAAGTGAATCAGAAAATTGTATCATGGTTGTTGCTGTTCTATTGCGAAAGTTGCATATGAAAAGTAAAATGAAGAGGAAGATACTCATCTGTGCCAAATGTTTGATCTACCTGACTCCGATAGTCTGATACTTCCGCATCTCAATTCAGTAGTACACATATTACTCGTTATTATTCAGTAGTGTGGGTGTGATGTGATTTAGCCTTTCTTCCATCGTCTACTAAAGTAAATTCACCTGTCAGATTGTCACACCTGCACTCCCTTTTCGCTTCTTTCTTTTCTTACCTTATTATATACCATTTGGAATAAAGTTTGGAGATAATCTGTTATCAATTTTGCATTCTTCCAGTCCTCATACGGAATATTTGTGCGATTAATTTTGTTTGCTTGATGTTTGAAGAGGAATGAATTAATGTAAAAAGGAAATTAGGTCACCTATCTCATATCAGGTGAACTCTGTGTGCAGACGTTTACTTCAGTTTTGTCTAGCAACGTTTCGTATAGACTTATGCTCTCTAGATCCACTTAGTAATTCATTCTACGACGCTGAAATTAATGAAAACGTTGTGGATTTCCGAATAAATTGGCAATCATATACGCATGAGTAGGACTTGTTCCACCTTAACAGTGTACAAATCGACTGGCAATTGCTGTGGGAAGAATGTAAGAAAGGAGGGAGAGAATAGCGATTTCACCATTATCGGAATTCGGAGTGATTGACGAAGGTAACATGTTCAGCAGTTTGTCAATTATTAACTTATTTGACAAGGGGTGTGCGATAGACTTACCTCCACGTGGTGCACCCTGGGCAACGTATACTCATACGGCAAAAAAGTCTATTATTCGGCAGCTGACTTCCGACTTCAAAACACCATCACCTCACTGTATGTCATATTCGACTACTTCCACAGTACTCACCTCATCTTTTTCACTCTACCTTTGTGTCTCTCTCTTTAACATCTTTGAAATACTCTTCTGTTCCCCTCCCCCTCTCGACTTTTTTTCACTTTGATGTTCCTTCTTCTCTCTGAAGCCTGAAGTCAACTAAAGGGCTTATGATAACTATCAAAATGCCTGCCATTTGATATAAATAAATAAATATTTTATGGAATTTATCCATCTCCTATCCATCTCCCCCCTTTAAATATCTATTTACTCTACTATGGGCATCATGCTGGGTAGAAGTAGACTCGCGACCTTACTGGAACAAATTGAAGCACCCACCTGCACGCAAAGTGGTAACCAATGAGGAGCCTTACTTGAGGCACCGGTCTGATCATTGGTCGATAGTTTCGATCCCATTTTCCTCTGTTTCATCTTACCTACATCCTGTATTCTTTTTATCCCCTTATACTTACTGGCTTCATCTTTATCTAATTGATATTAAATATCTTTTCACCAACTTAGCGAGTTTATTTAATCCTTTTCATTAGAACAGATTTCCTAGTTAAACTGTTGTGAATTCAGTTACTTTGAGAAGTCGCTCACTGTCTTGATGTTCTATGTAGATAACAAACGAAATAACACAGCTTGATTTTTCTTAAACAACTTAAATTCAACTTACTTCTATGTTTGCCCACATCGTGGAACCAGATTCAAAACAATAAGATCACCTGTATTAAGGACCTAAATAGATAAAATTGTTTTCTGTATATGTTTCCGTTAATAGCTAATGCAATAAGAATAGTGTGTTATTGCGTTCAACGTAAGGCTTTCCCCACCACCACAGATGCTGCTTCTAAACGAGGTTCAATTTTGAAAGCGAGAACTGAGGCTAACAATTCACGGTTTCTATTGGTTAACCGTTGAAGCGAATAAAGTGCCGACCTCTATAACGTACAACGAATCAGAATTGAACATTATTTTGATTGGTTCTTACAAGTATACCGCCCACGCTTATATCTAATTTGCGTTTCAGTAAGGGCTTAATAAACGCCCTTGGCGGACTTTGGGTTAGTCAAATGAAGATTTTAGTCCAACGAACAAGGTTCAACCGTCGCCAGTGCATTTCCCTCTACACCCTCATTTATGCATGTATTGTCACCGCCTTTTGGTATCATTTTAAACCCATATCTGGCTTCTTTAGTGGTAGAGTTGCTCCTATACACAACTACCGTATTCCAGATGTAGATGGAACTAATACGTCTTGTAGATGTGGTAAAGGACCTCAGATGTATATATGGCCTCCCCCTAACGGTCCTAAAGATCTAATCTGTTCAGACTCAACCTATGATTTGACGCTTTGTGTCCAAGTCGATTCAACAAAGCCCCCAAAACTCACTTTAATAAAGGAGCGACTTTTAAAATTAAGGAATATGAGCGGCACAAAGTCGGATGACCGTAAAGAAGAGTTTGCTGATGAGGGTAAAGAATTACTGCGCTGGTACCAGTTGGAAGGAAGTAAAATCGATGGCAAAGAAGGCTACGAGATGTATCCTCTTGCAATAAATCTTACGGAAACAATCAAGGCCATCAATAAAGGCTCACCAGCACCTTTCGTGAGTATATTCTTCTTGACATATTTATGTTTTAATAGTCACTTGGTTTGAATTATTTGATTTTGGAATGATTTCTGAAAATTATTCATAACATAACTCAAATTGTTCTCTTTCCCCTTACAAATATTGTTTTGGATTGACGGTCGCGCGTTATTACCTGGCTTTACTTACAACCTATTTACAATAAAGATGTAACAAACTGTTGACTTGTTTAGTTACCCCGGCCGCTTTAAGCTAACTTTCCCATTAATTATTCCATAAATACTAAAATTAATACGTCTTTGTTTCGATGGTACATTTGAATTTTAGGGTTTTGATCGATTTTCTGGATCATTACTGAGTGTGTTTGTATTTGCATACGTAGGAATTTTCTAATGATTGGAACAAATTCTTCACTCTTCACTTGATTCTCATCTCTTTTCGATGCTAGAATGACTGAAATAACCCGAGTGGTTTTTATTCTTTCTATTATTTCATTATGTAATACGTTATTGTAGTCGTTCGCTTCAATATTACATGCATCATGCTTCCCTGAACCAATTAAAAGTTCATTAATTTTGGCTCTCATCAAGAGTCGCAAATTGGTCTTTCTCCTAAGGACAATTATGGGAGACTTGATCTACTTGCATCTTTGTCCTTTAAATCACCACACTTACACTCATCTAACCTAAAGTACATTGTAATTTAAACGTTGCCGGATTGATTCCCTCTTTTTTAGGTTTTTAATGTATTCAAAATCTCTGTACCTGAATTCACTTTTGCGCTCAGCTCAATTTTAAGATTACTAATTACTTGTTTTGCCTAAAATTCTTTGTAATTAGTCCCTCTCTCTCTCTCTATTTCGCCAGAAATTATTGAAGGAAATTGTTTACTGGACGTTATATGCGGAGATGCTCTCAACTGTGCCCCTATAAATGAGAGTAATCCAGTCGAGTATCTTCGACTCTTATACACCCACGATGAGGCAAAACATTGAGAATAAGAAATTATTATTTTCGTTTTGTGTCCTTCGATTTTGACCGTTTTCTATTCATCTTCAATTTTTATGCAATCGTTTGTTTTCAAGTTGTGTTATCTATTCTTAGCAAATATGGTTACCCTAAACATTCATGTTTTGCTGACTTGCAATAAAGCAATTGTCTTTTTTTTCAAATGAATCACTCGTGCAAAGTTAATGCAATGATCGGTTGTGGTGATGGCAGTTTGTCTACTTTATTTCAAGAATTAGATCCACTAAGGTGGATGGGTCCAAAGGTTGTCGGCTGTTTTACTCAAATAGTCTCTATTCTGATAGCCTTAGAGGAGGAGGAGAAGGGGGTGGAATTTGCATTAATCCCATGCAATTAGTTCATCTGCTTCGATTATTTGGATGTGAAATGAACTCTGTTCTCATTTACATGTTTGCGTGAAAAGGTGGGAAAGTTCTAGGTTAATTTCCCATTGTACTTTCTAATTACACTCTTCATTGATATTATTTAAAGGGTGTTTCTGTTGGCTTCCCCACCATTTTGAACCATAAGTAGGTGAATTGAATTGAATTTTATTGTTAGACAGATACGCATAAAATTTTACCTGAATTTCGATTACAGAAATGAGAACAGAGTTTTCTATGCCAATTCTCAGATATTTTGTACCTATATCCTGAAAGTGAATAATGATTTATTATTGTACATCTTTTGCATTACAGCAAGTGGTTCTTAATACAGGTAATGCGCCGTGAATATTCCACGTTCTCTAGCAGTTAAGCTCTTCAAATCGCTTTAACTCTGTCTAAGAACGATATTAGTGTAGATGTGCTTGCTTTTGACTTCTAAGGTTAAGACTGATATCTTTTTATGTGGGCCAAGTGGAAAGAATCAGAGAGATCTAGATCTCGTTCTAATACTCGTTGTATTCAAAATGTTTGTGAGTGGTGGGGTTTTCTTCACTGGATTATTCTAGAACCAATGCGCCTTTGGCTATTTTTACTTTAATCAAGCCTGTTCTATTGAAGCCGAAAATCAAATTGGAGATCGTGTAAGTTGAATATTCCAACCAACTCGGTTGTGTTCTTTATTATTGTCTTTGGTCCTGAAAGTCTCTTCCCCTGTTGTCGATCATCACCACGGACGTTTCCTTCCTCTCTTGGTTAATTTCGCGGAAGATGTTAGTGCGATTTAAGCATAAACTATGTTGGCCACTTTTTTTACGGTAAAGCTTCATTTGTTTAACATGCATATAAGGAATTCCCTACTGCAGCACGTTGATAAAATTCGTCTCCTTCAAGGTCATTGTGCATTCAAGTTGTTGAATGGTTATGTGAAGATTTTGGCTTAAATGTCTTACGTGCGCACTTAGCATTGACCAGGCTGAGTATTTGTAATGATCGGTTATATTTTATATTTCAACTGTGAATAGTTGCATGCTTTTGTCGATAATTGTGGTTTCTGCTTGTCTGATTTGTTTTGTATATTGATTATAAGGACATTCAAATGAAAGGTCTGGTTTAGGTTAGATGCTTAGATTAACTTCTCTATTCCAAAAGTGTGAATGAATTTGTGGCAAAAATTAGGAGAAATGAGGAATTGAAAGTTTATACAATTGGATCTTTCCCGCATTTGGTGCAAGGTTTACATTCTTTTCTATTCCCATATCGAAACTTAGCTACCTCAGGTTTCGAGCTTAACAGTCAGCGCAACATCTGTAGTTTGTCTACTCAAAAAGTGAATCATAAAGGGTTGTCTTGGAATTTGGAGATGATTAATTACTACTTGGGCTTATTTTGATCTTCGGTTTGCAGAGTTGGATGCAGGTTGGGTAAGCGGCTCACATACTGAAGTATCAAAGGGTCATGAATGATTTTTTATACAAAATTTTCACAATTTATTTTTTTCATATTGGGGTGTGCGATAGACTTACCTCCTCGTGGTGCACCCTGGGCAACGTATACTCATACGGCAAAAAAGTCTATTAACCGGCAGTTGACTTCTCACTTCAAATTACCACGACCCCCCTGGTTGTCATATTCGACCCCATACACAGTACTCACCTTACCTTTTTCTCTACCTTTGTGTCTGTCTGCCTCTTTTACATCTGTGAATCGCTCTTCTGTTCCCCACCCCTCGACTTTCTGCTACTTTGATGAACTTTCCCTCTGTGAAACCCGAAGTCAGCTAAATGTCTAATGATATCTATCAAAACGCCTGCCA